CGCCCGCGTTGCTCGACGGGTCCGTGTTCCGGATGTAGGTCGCCACCGTGGCCATGGGATCCCCGCCGAGCACCGCAGGGTCCTCGCGCCCGACGACGTCCCCGGCCGGCGCGGGCACGGACGGGAAGATGGCGGCGTCGACGCGGTTGAGGTCGAAGTACTCTCGGAAAGCTTCCTTCAGCAACAGGCGGTAGTGGTGTAAGGATTGGCGGTACTTCTCTTCTGGGACGGGGTCGGAGAGAATAGATTTTACGATGTTCTTAACGTCTGGACTGGAAATCCCATCAACAAATTCATTTAAAGTCACCGGCAAATTTGTTCGGTTGAGGAGTTGCTGGAAAGCGACTAGACACTCGTAAAATATGACAGGGAATCCGGTCAGTTCAGTCAATCTTGGCACGCGGTGCATGTCAGCTTCTACTAATTCGATGCCTTCAGCAGAGAGAATCTTTAGAACTTCCTCCATGCGACCAGAAACGTCGTGGGAGAGATTCTGGTAGAAGTGAGTCCTTGGCACCCCCAGCCGGATGTCGCTCGGGTTTATCGTTGGAAGCTCGCTGAAGGCGGATCCAGCCAGGACAGCGTCAAGCGCCGCCACTGTGCGCACGTCTCTGGCCATCGGGCCGGCGGTATCACGAGTCCAAGAGAGGTGAGTCATGCCCCCGGGCGGGTAGCGACCCGTGGAGGGACGGAAGCCCACGATGCCACTCACCGCCGCCGGGATCCGAGAAGACCCGCCGGTGTCCGACCCGACGCCGGCATCGGCCAACCCAAGGGCAACGGCAGTGGCAGTGCCACCACTGCTCCCACCTGCAAATTTGCTTGAATTGAACGCATTTCTGACAGGACCAAAAGCTGCATTACTGCTAGTTACGCCATATGCCAGTTCGTGCATATTAGCCTTCCCCAAGATGATGGCTCCTGCTTTCTTTAAGGAAGAAGAGATCGGTGCATCCTCCTTTGGGACGTAATTCGACAGCATCCTGTGCCCTGCAGTATGTGGCATGTTGGCGACGTCAACATTGTCTTTCATGGCGATGGTCATTCCATACAAGCGCAATTCGTCCGTGTCCCCGAGGCTGTCAAGGTCCGTTGCAAGGTTATGAGCATATAGGCGATCAGTGCTGATGTAAGCATTATAATATCTAAATTGTTCTTCTCTATTTAATTGTCTGTTTACCTTATTGACAAGATTTCTATGGGCATGTCGCTTATCTGCAATACATGCAGGTACAGCCTGAAATGCCTGGAACTCCTCAGGGCAAGGGTGATTGCAGTCATACTGTACACCGCTGCCCTTTGGAAATTTTAAATCGCATTGCAGATAACAACGAGACCCTGATGATACGTTCCCGCTGTCTTCGAGAACCAACCAGTCGAAAAAGTCTCCTTCTGGACAATGGAATCCATGAGGGAGACAGTGAGTCACTTCCAAGTTGTCATTTATACCATATTTGGCACACTTTGTACAGCCTCCTTCACCCATGATATTGTTCGGTCCTGAGCAACCGTGTATGCAACTAGAATGGCAAGGAAGACAGACTCCATTGTCTTCAAATTCCTCAGGGGAACATTCTCGAACGCAATTTGATCCTCTTTCCACATGCTTACATCGTTCGCATTGGTCGGAGTCCAAGCCGTAGCACCGCTCTTCACATTCTTCGTGGCAGAAGTCACAGGTGTTGGAATTCACCTGGAAGACACGGGAGATATTGCAGTTCTCCACACATGTGCTATGGAGTCTGAAGTTCTTGCAGGAAAGGCACTGATCCTGCCCAGGTCCCCAGCACCCATCGTCACTGCAAGCCTCGTGGCACACGGAACTAGCAGCAGTGCAGCTTCCACCTTCAGCATTGTTCATAAGATGTACTCTCTCTTCACTGTCTTCGATGATCTTTCCCCATCGAACGTTCTCCACATAACAAAGATTCGTGTTGTCAGTAATCCTGATGTGTCCAGCTTTAACTGTCCTGAGAGATGTGAGGCCGAGGTTTTCCAGAGAGGTCCCCGTGATAAGGACTGAAGACGAGTGTTCAGTTAGACTCTCGCCACCAATGACTTCAAGATTCCTTAAGAAGCTGAGGTTTGCAAGACGAGGATGCGATGCTCGGATGTCTATGTACCCTGTTACTTCTTCGACTGTACTAAGGATTTCAAGTTCTTTAGGATCCATGGCTGGATATCCTTGAATAACTGTATCATGAGGCATTGTCTTATCATACCCCGAGAAGGATGCATTTGACAGAATTAGAGATCCTTGAATGGTCGTACATCCTTCGAACAAATGGACGTTCCCAGCATGGACGACACCGACGCCGTGACAGACCCTAGGACAGGGGCCTTCACACGGAACACACACCCCTTCCTGCTCCCTCTTCCCCTGCGAGCATTCCCGGACACACGTTCCTCCCTCCTTAAGCAGGGGCGTAGGACAGTCCTCGACGCACATGTTGACGAAGGAGTACTTCCCTTGAGGATCTGTGTCCCAGGAAGAAGTCGTGACATTGTACTGGAATACGGAGGGGCACTCCAGGACACACTCGCCATCGTCACTGAAGAAACGGCAGGCCTGTGGGGAGGTATAAACAGGTGGTGATCGCCGATTTTCATTGTCTCTTTCTGTTTTGAATTTCCATTATTGTTGTGTTTATTGATATATTATCTATCTACTAACTAATTTTGTAAAGCATGTATTTTTGCTAGACCATGTATCTTAACAATTTAGCTTCATTCTCGTCCCTTCTTTGCTAGCTTCTTTGTTTTCACTGCTTGTATTAGAATATCAAGTAGTTTACATTATGTATGTTTATTACCAGGGATAAGTTCAGCTTGTAAGTATAATTATTTCTCAGTTCACGTGTTTGTAAATCAACATTTTATGAGTGTATGCCCGAAATACTTACTGCAACTGGGTCAACAAGTAGAGAAACGATAATAAAATACAAGAAATATCACTTACATGGCCGTGGAAATATACAGTATGCACACTAATCATTCATCCCTTTAAGGGTGACATTTCTAATTTCTAATAGCAGTCTCAATAGTTATTTAAAATATATATATTTTGCAACTTGAATTGTGGTATTTCTCAAGACCTCCCATTAACCCACGAAAACAACAATGGAACCTTTATAACACAACCATTCGAAGAAATTGGTCAGCAAACTTGCCATTGCATTAAAAACAATACCTTCTAGATGACCGTTAGGTTAGGTTAGGTTAGGTTACTCACAAAAATAAACATAATTCGGATAATAGCATCTCACTCACCCGGCATTCCCTACTCGAAGGCCCCGTGCACCCGGCAGCGCAGAAAGGGTGGCAGCACTCCTCGGGGCGCGTGCCAAAGCAAGGGAACCCGTGGCACTCTGGAGAACAGGCTTCGAGGCTGAGGCAGCTGTCACCTCCCTCTCCCCAGCACCCACTCGAGCACAGAGGATCACACGTGCAGTTGGAGGAGGACTCGAGGTTGTTAGGGTTGATGAGACTCTCTTCCTCGTGGGATGTGATCCTTGACCAGTCCACGGACCGCCAGTGGCACAGGCCAGTGCTGTTGAAGACGCCCACGCTACCCGCTAAGATTTCTGAAAACAATGGGGTTTGCTGTCATTCACACCAGCGGGACTCTTGGGTTTATTTCTGGTGTATGGATGGGTTTTTCATCTCTCTCTCTCTCTCTCTCTCTCTCTCTCTCTCTCTCTCTCTCTCTCTCTCTCTCTCTCTCTCTCTCTCTCTCTCTCTCTCTCTCTCTCTCTCTCCATATATACATACAGGTGTGTGCGTGTGTACACCCACACACACATATGTGTATACACACACACACACACACACACACATATATTTATGTGTGTGTAAAGATAGATAGATAGATATTGCTATATATACATGTATGTGTATAAATGTATATATGTATGTTGTTGTGTATATATATATATATATATATATATATATATATATATATATATATATATATATAGAGAGAGAGAGAGAGAGAGAGAGAGAGAGAGAGAGAGAGAGAGAGAGAGAGAGAGAGAGAGAGCAAAAAATATAATGAATAAGAGGACAAAATTAAGCCAGAAACTTCAACTTCACATAATAACAATGTATCATGTGAACTTTTGATACAAAAACTTTCATTTTCTCATTTTATGCTTCAGAGGCCCCATATCTCAAGTGTCTTATCGTCCTGTCCTTCTTACATAAAACGGAAACAGAAGTTGTGTTCGAAAATTAAAGTTTACGATTTTGAAGACTTAACCACTTCAAACAAGATCTTATTGTCTACGTGAATGATCATGATAATTATCATAGAAATAGTACTATTGATAATGATTTGTGATACTTAGGATTAAAAAAAAAGATGATGATGACAATGATGATAAAGATTATAATACGAATGATAACGATAGCAAATTAGAATAATAATGACAATAATGATAACAATAATAGTAATAGAAAGGAAAATAACGATAATAATTATCATCATCATAATCATGACTATAGGATTAATAGTACTCGTAATTACAATTTTAATAATAATACTAACAATAATAATGATGATAATAATTACTGATATTAACTGATAGTAATAGTACTAATAATTGTAACAATAATGATAATAATAAAAATAATAACAATAATAAAAAAATAATTATAAAAATAATGATAGTAATAATAATGACTAGAAGCATTCAGAGAGCGCATACCCCCGCCAAGGCAATAGGGTCAATGATGCAATAAAAATATTCACACTTGAAGAATTATATTCAAATCATTTCTTTCTCAAGTACACTGGTGACGCCTGTTTCCTAATTTTGCAATAATAATGAATCATTAAAGAAAAATCTGGATCCGATCATGATCTGGATCACCACCAAAATTTTAATGGCATCTAAATTAGGCTAAGACACACCTCTGGTTAAAAAAAATAATAATAATAAATAATAAAAAGGACCATTTAGCCGTAATTCCTAACCCACCTATACAGGCTTTTCGACCAT